TGCCGGCCCCTGGAAAACATCGCACTACGGGGAGTACTCTATGGCATTGGAACGCATTAAACACTGTTTAATGCGTTCCAATGCCTTTTTCTGTTCCGTAGTGCGATGTTTCCCACAACGAAGGTTAATCCGGAACGGATTAACCTCGCTGTGCGGGGCACCACTGTACTTAGTTTTTAAAATACAGACTGATTTCAATCAATTTAAATTCATCTACACCATGCAGTTGCATCTTCATTCAGCAGATGGCAGATTCAAAAAGTTAACTGAAACATATCTGTAGGTTTTAATGCTATACTTATCCACTAGGTGGCAGATTTCCTCAACCAAATAAAAGTTTGAATAGCTATTATTCGAGAAACTAACTCATTTTGAAAGCTCCAGGAAATCCTAAGAACACGGCCCAACAGCCCAGAAAACCCACAACAACCAAAGACATATTTCTTAAGAAAGAAGTACACCGTAAAAGGAAAGAAACTTGCCTTCTCCGTTTGTGCCCATCTATCCAGTACCTCGCTGGCAAAGTTAAAGTACTCGGGTAGCGGCTGTTCTCCATGGGTTACGGCTTCATATTGCGCAAAAACGGGAGAGCCAAGAAACTTGTGTTGTCTGTGAAATGACCGATGGAGACTTCTAAATATCCAGAAGGATCTCAATATCTGTGATTTAAGTGAGGTTTTCATGGCGGAACCATTAGATCTCAAGCGTTGGTAGATTTAAGTCTTAGTCTACAAGAAATCATGGTAGACAAGGCAAATATTATTACAATAGAACTCGCCATGACCATCACCACCGAGGACAATAATAATGGCACAGAGAATCTGGAGTTCTCAAAGCTCTTCACATTTACTTTCTTGGAATTTCACAACAATGCTATAAGGTAGGCTAGTTTTACTTCATGCCCTGCACACCCCAACAGATTGAAGGTTACGAGTTAAGATGGGAGATCTATCCAGCCCATACTTCAGTGATAATACAAAATATTCATAGTTTTCAAACTTAAACATGAATAGACCTCAAAACATGTACTTTTCCAATGCCTGCAGCGTACTTCTTAAAAATAAAAATAAAAGAATAGAATAGAATTAATCAGTTTGGGGGGGGAAAACAGTGCATTACAATGTATACATTTGAATAAATGCAAGCCAAAAAGGGTTGCATTTCGAAAAAAAAAATATAAATGCACACAGGACACTTTGCTAAATAGAAAAATTGTTTTGGAAGATGTGTACATTTAAAAATGTGTGCACAGACTGAAGGAAAAATACACCCCAAAGTGTATGTATTTAAAAATGGGTACAGACAGACCAGGAAAAGAAACACACAATTGAGTGTGAAAACAGGAGAGAATAAACTTAACAAATTTGCCCATCCCTTGTGAAGGGGGAGCGTAAATCCTGCTGAGCAGTTCCGTTTGCTGCTGGCGTGTGCTATGGGGAGGATGTCATCACCAGTAGCAGATTGCGACTGTCTAAAGGTAAATTGCAGCTGATTAAAAGGCAATGTTGGTGTGTTTGTGATTCATATATAAAGCCAATGATGTTGTGCCTTCCCCAAAATTGCCGAGCGAAGCCTTCAGTTAGTGGCAATTGCTGCTGACATCATCACTCCTGCATCCACAGAGTGGTGCAACTCAATTTGAACAAACTCAAGGAAAGAATACCAACACCAAGATCTGAACTCCTTGCTATCAATCTACCACAATCTATATTACAGTGGTGTCTCGCAAGACGAATGTAATTTGTTCTGGGAGTAGCACTGTCTTGTGAAAAAATCATCTTGCAATGCATTGTTATGGGAACCTCGCAAGACGAATGAATATTTTTCGTCTTGCGAGGCATCGGTCTTGAAAAAAATTGTCTTGTGAAGCACACCCATAGAAGAAGCCGTCTTACGAGGCACCATAGTGATTGCAAAAACCATTTGTCTTGTGGGTTTTTCATCCCGCGAGGCGTTCATCTTGCGAGGCATCGGTCTTGAAAAAAAATTGTCTTGCCAAGCACAGCTATAGAAGAAGTCATCTTGCAAGGCACCACAGTGATCGCAAAAACCATTCGTCTTGCGGGTTTTTTGTCCCACGAGGCGTTCGTCTTGCAAGACACCACTGTACTGCAGAGTACCACAAGCACAAATCAGATGCTGGCAATACGCACAGAGATAATAACACAAGATCCAGTTCACCATGTCACAAAATGTCACATGCACATATGTAGAATATCTTCAAGCAATGAAACATTTGTAAAATTCGCACATTTTCTAATGGCAGTTTATTTTTTTTGGAGAATAGACCAGTTACTGAGGGTGAACATAATTAATTTTCTGAACATTTCTATGATTTTTCGCACCCTGACATAAGCAGATTATTCAGCATTGGGAATTGAAGATAATACCCTGTTTCCCCAAAAATAAGACCTAACCTGAAAATAAGCCCTAGTATGGTTTTTCAGGATGCTCGTAATATGAGCCCTACCCCCCAAAATAAGCTCCAGTTAAGTGAAACCCTGTCCTCCACCATTGTGCAGCAACCAGAAGAAGACAATAGGATTGTATTTGAATAAATATAGACTGTAGTACATGAAAAAAATAAAACATCCTCTGAAAATAAGTCTGAATGCATTTTCTGGAGCAAAAATTAATATAAGTCCCTTATTTTTGGGGAAACACGGTACCTAGGTAGGGGGTGAGGCAGCGTCAGAATGGTGTACCAGAGAGCTAGCTGGTGATGTGGGAGATCCCAGTTCGAATCCTCACTCAACCATGAAACTTACAGGGTGACCTGGGTCCAGTTTCGCTCAGCTTGACTTACTTCACAGGGTTGTTGTGAGTCTACAGTGGGCAAGAGGAGAGGAACATAGGCTGCTTTGAGCTCTCCGGAGGAACGACAGGATACACACTTTATAAAACAAGAAATAAACGCGTTTAAAGCAGGAGGCAAGGCTAGTCCATTTCATGTCCCTTTCTGACTCAGGTCCTTCTCTTCAGTGCATCAAGCAGTGATGGGCAGAAGGGTGAGGAGAAAGGAAACACGCAGTGGAGAAAGCTGGAGAGGAAAGGAGCTGTGATGATCCTAAGGAGGACACTCCATTCAGGGCAGGAGAACGGTTAAAGGCCAGGTAAACATTGTTGGTACACGTTAACACCCACCAAGTGGTTCTTGCAACCACAAAAACCCACTTCCATTGATTGTTCGACTGTGTGAAGTTTAAAGCTCCACATCGGTGACACAGATGGAAGAGGATCTACCTCAGAGCTGTGAGTTTTGGACCTATGGCTCTTGATTGTGCCCAAGAGATGAGAAGCTGAAGGAAGGGGGAATCATGAATCCCTACACTTCACCTTTTTTTTGAGGCAGAATTACTCAAGAGGTGTTGGAAGAGATTTATCTGCTCATGGGACTGACCTGCTCAAGAAGCTGGACCAGGAACACGGAGAGTGACGTCGCTGCTCGTTCGGCTGCCTTTTAAGAGATTCTTTGTGGTTCAAGACGGCACAGAGTCCGTTGGCTGGAAGAAATGGCAGTAGAGGATCCTGTCTGGCCTTTGTTTGTAGCTCTGCAGCCAAGAGATTTAGACAGCTTAAAGTCTACGCTGGGGCCAGATGTTGAATGCCAGCATCTTCTAATAATTGACATAATCAGTAGAATGTGACAGTCTCTTGCTCTTTGACACCTGGCCTTGGA